TCAGCATCCCAAGTAGCTGGGACTATAGGCGTGCACCACCACACCCAACTAATTTTTTTGTAATTTTAGTAGAAACAGGGTTTCACCATGTTGGCCAGGTGAAACCATACTCGGGAGACTGAGGCAGGAGAACTGCTTGAACCCGGGAAGAGGAGGTTTCGGTGAGCCGAGATCCCACCGTTGCACTCAGCCTGGGCAACAAGAGAGAAACTCCGTGTCAGATAATAATAATAATAATAATAATAATAATAAATGTTTGCATAGATTTGTTGATAAAAAAACAAAACAAACCCAAATTAAAAAGCTATACGACTTCATGACCAACTAGTGAATTGTTTTTATGAAATTAATTCCAATGCACTCAGACAACAGAATATTTTTGAAAATGTTGTTTAAAATTGTTATGAAAATCTTTACAATCTATTCTTTAATGAAAGAAGGCAGATACAAAGCAGCATGTGCAGTATTTTTTTTTTTTAAGAAAACCCCACATGTACACACATGCAAAAATAAGATACTAGAAAATAAAATGTAAAACCAAGATTTAATATTGGAAGAGTAGAAATGACTGTATTTAATATAGAAAGAGTAGAAGATTTAATATAGGAAGAGTAGAAAATCCAAAGACACAGGATTGTGGGTGACTTTAAAATCCAGTTATTTCCAATCTCCCTTTAATGGCATATGTGTAATCCATACATATAATACATATATGTATTATAGCATGCATATAATACATATATGTAATACGTTATATATAACATTTAAATAATATATATAATTTGTAAGTGGGAGGAACAAGAGAGAGCAGGTTTACAAAATCCGAAAAGCCCCAGTCTGGGGGAAAAGCCTCGATTTCGGTAATTCCCTGGTTAAAATCAAGAAACACCCTGAAATTCGAAGGCACCACCCGGGTCCCAGGGTGCACAATTCCTCTAATCTCCCAGTTGCAGCAACGTGGGGGATTAGAGGAAAGTCCCGAGAATAAGGATCGATGCCTCTTTATCCAAAAGATAATCAGCGTCAACAACAACAAAAAATAAACAAGAAGTCCAACTCGGCACCAAAGTACCATCTGGCTAGCCTGCGAGCTGCCCACTCGGGAGCCGAGTCTGCAGCTTAGGACCCAAACCCGGGTTTGGGAGCGTCGGCCGAGATCCCACTGCAGTGACGCGACCTGCCCATAGGTCCCCGCGCTCACAGCTTCCGGGCAACCCACGAGCTAGTGCTTCCGGGTCACGTCGACCCAGGAAGGCTCACAAGCGAAGCATCGCGAGCTCCACTTCGCGCTCTTAGGCTGTGTGTGGGCTCGGCGGGTGCTCGGGAGCTGCCCGGGTCACGGGAGAACGGCCAGCTGTCAGTGACAGCCCCAGAGCGCCTAGGAGCCTTGCGATACCCGGGTGTCTGTCGGCAGCACGCAGACACCTCCACGCTGAGCTGGAATCGTCCCTCGCCCGGCCCTGCCCCTCTCGGGAATGGCAAAGGACATTACGACCTACATTCCTTCCCCGACCTGATGGCTTCAGATTGGCAGATTGTGCCTAAGTGGAAGACCTGTGGTGCTCCTTTGCTTAATTTTTATGGACTCTGTTTTCTTAAATAGTTCTAATAATCACCGGGAGTTGCGGGGGCGGGAACGTAATTTCTGCGTCTGCCCTTAAATACCATTAACCCTTGGTGCGTTGCGGCTTTTACGGAATTTCACCGATGATCTGTTATTTTTTTAGTTAAAAAAAAGATAGCTGGGTAACAGTTTTCATTTAGGTGCTGAAAAGCAATCAGTTCTGCACAATAGCAGATACATTTTTTTAAATGCAGTTTGACTTACCAAATTAATGTGCAGATGACAAGACTGGCTTTGACTTTTGTTATTCAAAGCACACTAATTTGAATTTGTGGGATTAAATTTAGATATTTCAGGGGTTTCTTTGGTAAGAATACTATTGTTTGTATAGCAAACACTTGTACAAATAAAAGCGGGTATGTGGCCAATATTTACTGCCCATACTTGTTTTCTTTATAACATGTAACTTTTAAACATAATTTGACTTGAAACTGTTTCTTTTATCATTTTTATAGGTGATTCCAGTTCAAAATATTACATTAACATGTTGACAAGTTGTCATTGTTGAACAAATTTTTTATGTGCAATCATACGGAACATTTTACATTTTAGGATGTTCATATATCAAGTATATATATAATCATTGGTAGAAACTGCGCTGGGCAAGGTGGCTCACACCTGTAATTCCAGCACTTTGAGAGACTGAGGTGGGTGGATCACCTGAGGTCAGGAGTTCAAGACCAGCCTGGCCAACAGTGAATCCTTCTACTAAAAATACAAAAATTAGTGAGCATGGTGGCACCCACTTTTAATCTCAGCTCCTCAGGAGGCCGAGGTGGGAGAATCACTTGAACCCAGGCGGCGGAGGTTGCAGTGTGCCAGGATCATGCCACTGCACTGGAGCCTGGATGACAGAGCCAGACTGTCTTCAAACAAACAAACAAAAAACAAAACAAAACCTAAGAAAGCTATATTGCTTAAACTCTTAACATTTAACTACATTTATCCATTCTCAAAAGAACTTGCTAATCACAAGTCTGGAAAAATCTGTCCTTCCCTGGCTTACTATGACTTAATCATAAATGTCTAAATTTGACAAGTGTCCCAGGAGAGAAGACTTAACAAAACTATTCTGCTACATTTTGTTTATGTGACATTTGAGATCTGCATGTTACAAATAGTAATCTAGTTTTTTTTTTTTTTAAAGATGGAGTTTCACCATGATGGCCAGGCTGGTCTTGAACTCCTGACCTCAGGTGATCCACCCACCTCAGCCTCCCAAAGTACTAGGCGTGAGCCACCACGCCTGGCAGTAATCTAGTTTTTAATAAAATATACAGAGACTGAAAAAGTTTTAGCAGTTTAGCTGCTACTTCAGCTGCTTAAAGTAATATATGCATCATATGCCCCTCTGGTGGTACGGGTGTCAGATTCCATTCTCTAGGGTACTTCATACATATCTGCTAGTCGTGGGAAGAATCAGAAACTAGACACATGGTTAGTCCATCTGGCTGGCTGGTGGCAGCAGAGGAAGAACTGGATTTCCAGGGCAACTGACAGGGTGATAGGACTGGGCAGCAGGGAGGAAATCTAGGGAGGTACATAAGATTTAGGTCCAATACAAGCACTGTGCTTTAAATACCATTCTGATTCTCATTTGTGTTTAATTACCTTTATATTTAATATCTATCCATATTGCCTTCTTCCATTTTATTCCTCTAGATTTCTACATTGTATTACATAATATATGCTATCTTTTACTTACTGGTTCATTTTATGATGAGCATAGTCCAGTGTTTTTACTAACTTAATGTATCGTCTCTCATCCCAACACCATTCCTCAACTAAGTCTGACTGGTCAAGAATAATCCAGGCCAGGCGTGGTGGCTCATGCCTGTAATCCCAGCACTTTAGGAGGCCAAGGCGGGTGGATCACAAGGTCAGGAATTTGAGACCAGCCTGGCCAAGACAGAGAAATCCTGTTTCTACTAAAAATGCAAAAAAAGGTTAGCTGGGCATGGTGGTTGGCACCTGTAAACCCAGCTACTCAGGAGGCTAAGGCAGAGAATTGCTTGAACCTGGGAGGCAGAGGAGGTTGCAATGAGTCGAGATAGCACCACTGCACTCCAGCCTGGGTGAAAAAGTGAGACTCCACCTCCAAAAAAAAAAAAAAAATTATCCAACACCTGGTGCCAACCTGAGTGCTAGTATTATTAGTAAATAGTGAATCCTATTTATTTATTATGCTAAGTGCCATTTGTTAGTAAATAACAAATGCTTCTGGAACTGATTTACAGAGGGCCTCAAAAACCAGGTAGTGTTTATTTAATGCTAGGTCAATTTGGCAAAAATAAATGCACAGAAAGCCATTTCCAAAACAAAAAAAAATCAGAATACAATTTGCTAAATTTTCTAAATTACTAATTTGATGAATTGTTGAGACTTGTTAAAAAAGTTCAGGCCCTACTCATGCCTCAGCCTTATGTAAGGGAAGCCCAGGAGCAGGGCAGAGCATGAGTATACAAAAATAGAGATGAACTGCAAACTCCACTTCCGAAAATCTTCACCTATTTGTGTATCAAAAGGCGGGGGTAAATGCAAAACTAAATCTCTGAAAAACTCTGACAAACTAGCTTTCAACTGCTAGTAAAAAAAAGCCTAGAAATCAAACAAAACTGGTTTTATTTCATAAGACATCTAGAGATAGGCAGCAGCTGGTGTTGGGTCAGCAGCTCAACAATGTGGCAACTGGCATGTTCTTGGTTCTCTTCACCTTTCCTTCTGTTGTGATTTAAAGAACTCCTCCAGCTCCGGCCATCACTTTGGTGTTTATGGCATCAAGAAGGGGAAGAGGAGGCCTAGCAGCATATATATCTTTAATCAGGAAGCAGAAGTTTTCCCAGAAATCCCAAAGCCAAAGCTGTTTTCTGAGGCCACCAATAGTTGCTAGTTGCAACAGTGGCTGAAAGGGGGCAATTCGCTTTTCTGGGTTCTTCAGTGGAGGCAGGTAAGGGAAGAGTGGGTTGGGAATGGCTGGCAAATTGGAGCACCAGCACTACCTTTGTGGATAATAAATTTCTTTTCAAAATGGGCAACTGATAGGTGAAGAAATACCTGACAACAATTTTAAGGTTAGAATTTGAAACTCAGTTCTGCTTTCAATCATGACTTTTTTTTTTTTTTTTTTTTTATGAGAGGGAGTTTCGCTCTTGTTACCCAGGCTGGAGTGCAATGGCGCGATCTCGGCTCACCGCAACCTCTGCCTCCTGGGTTCAGGCAATTCTCCTGCCTCAGCCTCCTGAGTAGCTGGGATTACAGGCACGCGCCACCATGCCCAGCTAATTTTTTGTATTTTTGGTAGAGACGGGGTTTCACCATGTTGACCAGGATGGTCTCGATCTCTTGACCTCGTGATCCACCCGCCTCGGCCTCCCAAAGTGCTGGGATTACAGGCTCGAGCCACCGCGCCTGGCCCAATCATGACATTTTTAACAGATGCATTTCAGCTATACTGCTTTTTCCTTGTCCCTCATTCCCCAACATTCTAAATGGAACTAAAATAAAATTACTTAATCTTTCAAGAAAAAGGGGGAAGCAAAAGGTCAACAGTGACAAGATAGTTTCAACTCCTCTTTTGTTGTCATTGTCCTTCTACACCAAAGAACATCTGGAAAACATCCCCACATGCTTTGGCATTTAAGAACTGATACAGCTGACCGAAGTCCATGTGGTTTCCCCTGGCTCCATTAACACTGAACACTTTTTCTTCGAAAATGGAAAATTTCCTTTGTCTTTCCATTTCATCATTTGTACCATCAAAAGGAATGTCTTCTCGATGGCGAACTAAAATTCTCTTCCAGTTTAATTTTCTGAGTCTGAAAAGAAATTTCCAAAGCAAACATTTTCAAAATGTATATTCTAGGGCCCTTAAAACAGAAGTTATAAAACAGACTTATCAATGCCTTTTCTTAGAAGTGGTCTACTTTTTACTTTTTAAAAAAATAACTTTATTTATTTATTTAGTAGAGACAGGTCTTGCTGTATTGCCTATGCTGATTTCAAACTCCTGGCTGCAAGTGATATTCCTGCCTCAGCCTCCGAAAATGCTGGGATAACAGGTGTGAGTTATCACGCCCTGCCAAGAAGTCTACTTTTATCTCACAAGGATTTATTTTACTCATATATGATTCTGGTCATAATCCCATCCCCAAACTCATTTGTTGCTATTACTATGGCCTTGTATCAGTATTTTAGAAATGTAGGAATTACTGAATCCCAAACTACTAATGGAACTTCTCAGAAATTCATTTAGGATATCAGTAAAGAAATGAGAAGACTAGTGGCAATTCTAATGCTTCTAGAAAGCCCCTTTCTTCATAGGGTATCCAGTTTGAAGCATCACTAAGATGAAGGAAGATGCAGATCCATGGAAGTGGATGGGGTCATAGTGTCTTGGGCAGGGGCTCAATTCATTCAGTGTATAATTACAGAATGTCTCCTACACACACTTGTCAGGTGAGGGGAAAAAATGCTGACTACATGTGATTTCTGCCATATCCACCAACTTGAGAATGAATCCCATACTTATATCCACATCTTTAATACAGTCATGTGTTGCTTAATAGGGAGACATTCTGAGAAATGCATCTTCAGGCTGTTTTGTTATTGTACCACCACGATAGAGTGTACTCACACAAACCTAGATGGTACCTTTTTTTAATTTATATTTTTTCATGCGGAAAACCAAATGTCCCAGCATCATTACTGAATATCACCCTGATATTCAATAGTGGGAAGATCACGTGCCATGTATCAGGTTTCTTTATGTGCTCCCTTATAATCTTATGGTACCACTGTTTTATGTGTGGTCCACTGTTGACCAAAATGTCACTAGGCAGCACATGACTGTATCTTGTTTAGTATTAAAATTATTGACATGACTTTACATACGTATGTGAAAGCAAACCTTGACCAGAATTCTTCACAGGCACTTTGTGGGCCTTCCACACAAACAACACCAGGTTTTCCAGGCATGCTAAACCCAGACAGGGAAAGCTCCTTTGCCCACTCTAGAATATTCTTTCTTTTGCATTTGTTATAGATATGATGGCTATAGATCCAGAGTCTCGTGAAGATGACGTCAATTGACTGGACTGTACTTCCTGTGGTGGGTGAAGATGAAGAATCTCTGCTGACATAGCCAGCAGCATGTTCTCTAACCCACTCTGTGGCATTCAGTATACAAACATCTCCATGACAATGTTTTTGCAAGAATGCGGTCAGATCTGTGTTCAGCTGAGTCTGCTGGGATCTACTCAGTAATAGTGATCTAATAGCAAAGATAAAAGAAAAAAGTTATCTTGGAACAGAAAACAAACTCAAGAATTGCTTTTATTTTCAGATTAATTTTTTGACCTCTAAAGTTGGCCAAAACTTCTGTAACGTACCTGACAGTAATTTCAGGCAGAACTGCTGGGTATTTAAAGGGAAGAATACAGGCCAGAGAAAACATCGCCTGATTAAAGAGAAGAAGAAATAGTGCACTAACCAATGTTTGAAATCTCAACACATTTCAATCCTTTCAAAAGCAAAATTGAATTACCATTGTTTCCTCAGATACATCCAGGTTCATATTGATAGTAAAGTAAACTTTTGAAGATCGTCCCTCCATTGTCTTCTTTTCAATACAATCTTTCAGTTCTGCTACAGCCAGCTGGTCATTCACTATGAGCTCATTCTCACCAGGGAACATACTGGCTAGCAGGTCTAACTCAGCAAGCTGGGCCTCTGCCTGCTCTATCTCAATCATTTTTGGACATCTGTAAGTTTCTAAGGCGGTAAAGACAACAGAGACAATTTACATAAGCAATCTTGGAAGAATTCAATAGATCAACATAAGTACTAAAATTATATTTGATTTCTTCATAAATTGTACAACTTAATTAGTCTCTTTCCCCTTTATCTACTTTCAGATATAATATGCTAAGTCCTATGCTAAGACCAGCCTGGGCAACATATTGAGACCATCTCTATAAAAAAACAAAAACAAAAAACCTCTTAAGAGTAAGTAGACACCACATTCCTCTGTGTCTAGATAGTTGAAAGGACATTTTGAGCTACCATAATGGGCAATTTCATCAAAGTAAACCAATTATGGAGTAAAAAAGCTGTATCGATAATGTAGCCAGAAGAGAGGATATGACTGGTTATACCGGAAAACTAGAATGAACAGAGTAAGTCAGAGAGTGGTTATGTGGATGGTCAATTTCTTCTTTTTAAGTATATATTAATGTGTTTGTTTGTTTGTTTGTTTGTTTGAGACAGGGTCTACCTCTGTCACCCCAGCTGTAGTCCAGTGGCATGATCCCAGCTCACTGCAGCCTTAACTTCCCACACTCAAGCAATCCTTCCACCTCAGACTTCTGAGAAGCTGGGACCACAGGTATGCACTGCCAGTTATATTTTTTATTTGTAGAAACAAGGTCTTGCTATGTTGCCCAGGCTGGTCTCAACCTCCTTAACTCAAGCAGTCCTTCCACCTCAGCCTCCCAAAGTACTAGCATTACAGGCATCAGCCACTGTGCCTGCCATTTATTCATTTTTAAGAAGCAGAAGAACATAAAGAGAAAATAAAGGCTAATTGTCCTGTAGCTTAAGTAACCCGTTAACATGAAAACATTCTAGGCATTATACATATACGCATATGGGAAATGCTGGTATAATGTATAAATATATACAATGTGAGATATATTACAGTATATATGTTTAAAATGTATCCAAAGGGTATATGATGTACTTTTTCTTCCTATTTCCTATCTCCCTCTCCACCAAATATATTTTGTAGATCTATTCACTGTCAACATATAGTGATCTACCTCATTCTTTGTAATTGTTGCCTGTTATACTGAATCATGTAGATATGCCATAACTTATTTCTTTACCTATTGATAGGCATTTGGGTTGTTTCCATATTTTTACTAATATGAACAATTCCATAATGCAAGTTCTTTTTATATATACAGTATGGTAAACTGAATACTGTGTATTCAAAAATAAACTTATAGAGGTGGATTGTTGGAGCGACAGGTACATTTTTAATTTTGACAGATATTGCCAAGTGGCTTTCCTGAAAGTTGCCATACAGAAGTTTAAAACTGTACCCAGTCCCCTGCTTTTCTTTAAAATTTTTTTTTTTTTTTTTTTTTTTTTGAGACAGAGTTTCGCACTTGTTACCAAGGCTGGAGTGCAATGGCACAATCTTGGCTCACCTCAACCTCCACCTCCTGGGTTCAGGCAATTCTCCTGCCTCAGCCTCCTGAGTAGCTGGGATTACAGGCACGCGCCACCATGCCCAGCTAATTTTTGTATTTTTAGTAGAGACGGGGTTTCACCATGTTGACCAGGATGGTCTCGATCTCTTGACCTCGTGATCCACCCGCCTCGGCCTCCCAAAGTGCTGGGATTATAGGCTTGAGCCACCGCGACTGGCTTCAAGGTAATATTTTAAAGATTTGTCTGTTATGTGTATCAGTTTCTTTTAATTTCTTGGTAATATTCCATCATGAATATACCAATTCCATTCTTGTTTTGATAGAAACCTGGGTTGTTTTCAGTTTTTTGGCTATTATAAATAAAGCTGCTATAAACATTCTTATACAGCATTTTATTTCTCATGACTTTTTTTTTTTTTTTGAGGCGGAGTTTCGCTCTTGTTACCCAGGCTGGAGTGCAATGGCGCGATCTCGGCTCACCGCAACCTCCGCCTCCTGGGTTCAGGCAATTCTCCTGCCTCAGCCTCCTGAGTAGCTGGGATTACAGGCACGCGCCACCACGCCCAGCTAGTTTTTTGTATTTTTAGTAGAGACGGGGTTTCACCATGTTGACCAGGATGGTCTCGATCTCTCGACCTCGTGATCCACCCGCCTCGGCCTCCCAAAGTGCTGGGATTACAGGCTTGAGCCACCGCGCCCGGCTTTCTCATGACTTTTTAATAAATATTTATTATTACTTACTATATTCCAGGTACTTCCAGGTACTAATTATAGCCATGAACAAGACAAAGATGTCCCATCTCTCAAAGAGCTTACATTTGCACATTTCTGTGTATGTATGAAGAGGGATAAAGATAAAGGTAAAAATAAAAAAATGATGTCTGGGCGTGGTAGCTCATGCCTGTAATCCCAGCACTTTGGGAAGCCAAGGAGGATTGCTTGAGCCCAGGGTTTGAGACCAGCTTGGGCAACATAGAGCGACCTCTACAAAAAATACAAAAATTAGCCAGGTGAGGGGGCGTGTGCCTGTAGGCCTGTACTTCTAGCTACTCAGGAGGGTGAGGTGGGAGGATGGCTTGAACTTGGGAGGTTAAGGCTGCAGTGAGCTGTAACTGCACCACTACCTCCAGCCTGGGTGACAGAGTGAGTCTCTGTCTAAAAAAAGAAAAAAAAAATTACCAGATAGTAGTGGATAACTGCTGGGCAGAGAAGTAAAGTAAGGTGATGTGAGTGATCAGATGACTACGTTACCTAGGTTGCCCTGTAACTGTGAGGAAGTGACTTTTAAGGCATGTTAGAGGTTGGATGTGGTGACTCACACCTGGAATCCTAGTGCTTTGGGAGGTTGAGGCTGGAGTATCCCCTAATGTCAGGAGTTTGAGACCAGCTATTGTAGAGACACGGTCACTTCAAAAAATAAAAAAGCCAATGGGGTGGTACCCAGTTGCAGTACCAGCTATGGGAGGCTGAGGTGTGAGGATCACTTGAGCACAGGAATTCAAGGTTACAGTTAACTATGATTGCACTTCAGCCTGGGCTACAAAGCCAGACCCTGTCTCTAAAATAAGTAAATAAAAATAAGGTATGAACAGAATAAAAATAAGATACCAACCCTGGAAGATCAAAGGGAAGAGCCTTTCAGACAGGAAGCAGGTGGTACAATGACCCCAAAGCTCTGTTTTAAAATGGGCAAGGGCAAAAAGCCTGCAATTCTGGAGCTTGGAGAAGAAAACTTTTAAAAAATTACCTCATCCCACTCCTGTTCTTTCTTGCTTGAGAGCTGGAGCCTTTGCCCTACCACACATCCCTGGATGTGCCCAGGATTTGACTTGGGCTTTCAAACTTTGCACAGTAGCTGCTACTAACTTTTTGAGATATACATCCCTGGGGGCTCAGTCCTGCCTCATCTAAATCACCAGAGACCAAACAAGGACCAGCCCAGTATCTCTTGGACTTTAATGTCGTAATGTTGTCAGAATAAAGAGAAAGATGAAACTAGGCCAGGCGTGGTGGCTTATACTCCTGTAATCCCTGCACTTTGGGAGGCTGAGGCAGGTGGATCATGTGAGGCCAGGAGTTTGAGACCAGCCTGGCCAACATCCTGAAACCTCATCTCTATCAAAAATTACAAAAGTTAGCCAGGTGTGGTGGTGTGTGCCTATAATCCCAGCCACTCAGGAGGCTCAGGCAGGAGAATTGCTTGAATCTGGGAGGTGGAGGTTGCAGTGAGCTCAGATCGTGCCACTGCACTCTAGCCTAGGCAACAGAGTGAGACCATGTCTCAAAAAAAAAAACAAAACATTTTTTTAAAAAATTATCTCAGCAGTAAAATGCAAGAGAACTAATTTTCCCCCAAATTTAACCAAATGTTACTCTGATTATTAGTATGCTACCATCTTAAACTCCTTTTATCTGACTAGTAAGGATGGACATTTATTTTGTGAACAATTGTTCTTCTGTGGTGAATTACCTATTTACATTCTTTGACTATTTTTCTATAGACGTTTGCATCCCCCCACCTCTGCCCCCTTGATAGCGATTACTATCTTCTCTACTAAACTAAGACGCCAGGGCAGAGAGGCTTGTTTAATTCGAGGGAAGGCTTGGCACAAAGTGTGCACTTACATATTTTCTTTTCTTTTTGAGATGGAATTTCCCTCTTGTCCAAGCAGGACTGCAATGGCGTGATCTCTGTTCACAGCCACCTTCGCCTCCAGGGTTCAAGCGATTCTCCTGCCTCAGCCTCCCAAGTAGCTAGGATTACAGATGCCCGCCACCACACCCGACTAATTTTTTGTATTTTTTTTTTTTTCCAGATGTTGTCTCACTCTGACGCCCGGTGGCACGATCTGCAACCTCTACCTCCCTGGTTCAAGCGATTCTCTTGCCTCAGCCTCCTGAGTAGCTGGGACTACAGGCGTCCACCACCACGCCTGGCTAATTTTTGTATTTTTTAGTAGAAACGAGGTTTCACCAAATTGGACAGGCTGACCTCGAACTCCTGACCTCATGATCTGCCCGCCTCGGCCTCCGAACGTGCTGGGATTACAAGCGTGAGCCACCGTGCCCGGCCAATTTTTTTTTTTTTTTGTATTTTCAGTAGAGACGGAATTTCCCCATCTTGGCCAGGCTGGTCTCGAACTCCTGACCTCAGGTGATCTACCCACCTCAGCCTCCCAAAGTGTTGGGATTAGAGGCGTGAGCCACCGCGCCCGGCCTCGCACTTACATAGTTTCCACGAATCAACAGTAAATATTTGAAAACTACCCTCCTCTCTCGCAATTTCTCTTTAACACCGTCTTTCAGTTTTGCTTTAAAATTCACTCTCGCTGCGTTTTTTATTCTGACATGGTGCAGGAAGGTAAATTCAAGACAACTTACGTACTCAATTTTAGAAGTCGACAGCAAAGAATTAGGGAAACAAAAATTCAAGTGTTCCCCCTCTTAGCCTCCAAATGTAACGTGTTCCAGAAAGGTAACCACCTAGGAGACTCCAGGGCTCAGACCACCACCAGAGGCCTACACCTCAGAAGCATTTATATAACTCCATGGTTACGACAGAGACCAAAAAGCCCACTGACAACCAAACCCCATGTCCGAAGTTACCGCACCAGTCCGTACGCAGGCGCAGATTTACCACCAGCGCCAGGGCGGACGGTCGGGGGCGGGGAGGGGAAGGAAGGGAAACGTCTAGCCACTTCCCATAATGCCGCGTTCCGGAAGTTGTTGCTTTCCAGGGGTCACTCTGGCTTCGGCTCCGTCGCTCTCAATCCGCCACCAGAAGGAAGGCAGAGCTGGATGCCCAGCCCAAAGGCCCATGAGGGGATGCAGTTATGGGCTCTGTCGCCGTGGGTGAGTTCTGGGCCCGCTGCCTCGCAGTCGTCGCTCTCCTGACTTCCTGCCCTCGGAGAGCCCTGATTTTCCGCCCCAACCTTGTTCTCTTCTTGAAGGCCCCTCTCCATAAGCGTGTAACCCGGCTACTTTCGGTACTGCGATCTCATTGGCTGCATGTCCTGTCAGTTCCAGGAGCTGGCAAATGAGATGCCGCTGCTGGCGCTTCTCGACCCCGTGGACCCCGAGCTTCCCCCGTGGGATCGGAGCTGTTAGAAGGGGAGGAGAGGGGAGATGTGGCAGGCGTGGAGCAAGTGGGTGGCAGGGACTGCCCCGTGTGTGGCAGGCGTGGAGCAAGTGGGTGGCAGAGACTGCCCCGTGTGTGGCAGGCGCGGAGCAAGTGGGTGGCAGGGACTGCCCCGTGTGTGGCAGGCGTGGAGCAAGTGGGTGGCAGGGACTGCCCTGTGGGTTGGGGCTGGGTTTGCAGCCGCGTTCATGCGGTTAGTAGGAAAAGCAGGATCTGTCACCTATCCATTTGAATACACCTAAGAGAGGACTGATCTACGCAAAACTTGAAAGCCACGTTAAGACCTGCTGCCAAAGTTTTCCACACGCTTACATTTTTAATGGAACCGAGTAGGCGGGGGAAGACTGGGAGGGCAGAGAGAGAAGAAACTTGGAATAATGTGAGAGCCGGCAAGACTAGCTTTGATTTAAATTTTCTGTGGAGTCCTGCAAAGAGTCATTTCAGTGAGACGCTAATGCTCATCTGCTGACACTACTTGAAAAGTGTAGTAAGTTTATTGATGTTTTATAGCTGATGGCAGTCGCAATACTCTCTCCTCATGACACATGAGTTGCCTTTATAGTTGCCAGAAATTTACTGGGGCTCTTTCCGCAGCACTGGAGTGACCCCTCTAAGTCCTCTGCCTGCAGCAATTAACAGTTCGTCTTTCAAGTTTTCCTACGGAGTCTGAGCTGCTGCAATCCTCAAAACAGATTTACTAGTGCTATGTGTCTTCACTACTGCAGATTTCTGACTTCTTATTTTTCGCCCTTTTCTTTTTCACCAGAACTTGGTTGCTTCATTCTTATGTACCTACCTTTGCACCTTGTAACCATCCTTTATGCCTCAGGTACTATTCTGTTTTTCTATTTCAATGCAAGAAGTATTTCTTCAGGACCTGCTATGTACTAACATTATGCTAAATATTATAGGCAGTTCCAAAGCTTTGCCTGAATCTATTTATTTTTCTAAGAACTTTAGATTCTGCTTAGAGAAATAACATAAACCCAGATTAAATATTTAAGAAATACACTGGAATATTTGATAAGGGGACAAGATGATTAGAGCACGCCATAAATACTGAGGAAGTTCAGTGGAGAGGTTAATTTAGAGTAGAATGATTAAGGCTTCCTTGAAATAGAGAACTTGGAAGATTGGTAAGATTTGGATAGATAGAATATTACAGCTAGAAATCAAAGGCATCAAGGCCAGAGGAGGTGGTGTGCAAAGTGTTTTGGTGTGGAGTATAAGAGACAGACTTGGCCAGGTGCAGTGGCTCATGCCTGTAATCCCAGCACTTTGGGAGGCCGAGGCAGGTGGTTCACCTGAAGTCAGGAGTTCAGAACAGCCTGGTCAAGATGGTGAAACCGCATCTCTACGAAAAATACAAAAATTAGCCGGGCGTGGTGGCAGGCGCCTGTAATCCCAGGTACTCGGGAGGCTGAGGCAGGAGAATCATTTGAACCTGGGCGGCAGAGGTTGCAGTGAGCCACTGCACTAAAGCCTGGGCAGCAGAACAAGACAGTCTCAAAAAAAAAAAAAAAAAAAAAAAAGAGACTTGATTGGCAGGTAAAAAGTGGTGGTGTTGAAATGCAAACATCTGCATTTTACTTTTTTTGGTAGAGTGTTGCTTTGTTGCCCAGGCTAATCTTGAACTTCTGGCCTCAAACAGTCCTCCCATCTCGACCTCCCAAAGTGTTGGGATTACAGGCCAGACAGCATCTCCCTTTTAGCTCATCCCTGTTACCCTGTGTGATCTTTCACCATTTTTCTTCTGAATTTTTAGTGAAATGTCTTTATTTAAAGTGTTGCTATGAAAGTCCAGTGTGATAATGTTTGTGAAAGGGCTTTGAAGAGCCAAAACACTATATAATTATAACTTTAGTCAGTTTTTGTTGTTATTGAGGGATAATAGTCAGGATTAGCAGAGTATTGGGGCCAAATTTATAAGGGCCTTATGAGTGCAGAGTTTAGGGAGTATGGTTTGGGAAGCAGTTAAATGCTTTCAATTAAGAGAGTGATGTGATAAAAATGGCATAACTGGAAGATGAATCTGGTACTGAAGTACCACACCAATTAGAACTAGTTGGGCCGGGCGCAGTGGCTCACACCTACAATCCCAGCACTTTGGGAGGCCAAGACAGGTGGATCACGAGGTCAAGAGATTGAGACCATCCTGGTCAACATGGTGAAACCCCGTCTCTACTAAAAATACAAAAATTAGCTGGGCATCATGGTGCATGCCTGTAGTCCCAGCTACTCAGGAGGCTGAGGCAGGAGAATTGCCTGAACCCAGGAGGCGGAGGTTGCGGTGAGCCGAGATCGCGCCATTGCACTCCAGCCTGGGTAACGAGCGAAACTCCATCTCAAAAAAAAAAAAAAAAAAAAAAAGAACTAGTTGGATTGGAGGCAAGAACTTGGGTGCTATTTTTTGTATTTGTTTCTAAGATCTGTACTTCTAGATAGTTAGGTAGACCTGTATGTGCTTTGAGCACTTTTCATGTTTTCTAAATTTGAACTGTTGACTAAAAACGTGAAGATTTTATGTGCAACTAGATTTGTCATAGCCTTCCAAAGGTTTTGGCAATAATATAATAATGTAAGTAGTTGAGAATGCAGTTGTAGTCAATTTCCATTTAGCTAATGCCCTTAGGAAATCCTAGTGTGGAAAATACACAACACTGTATCGCTTTTTGTATTTGGCTTTGAAGTTATTTTGCAAATTTTCTAATTCCCTTCAGGGGGTTGTTAGAATTATTTTTAATTTTTATTAGAGAAATTATCAATTTAATTTGCATAGACTGCAGAGCTAAGAAAGGTAGCTTAGAAGGAAAGACAATCAGTTTTCTGTTTAAGAGTGCCACCATTATTTCACATGTATGTAGTGAGGAGTCAGCTTCCTACAAGTGTCAAGTTCTGAGACTGTTCAAGAACCCTGTGAAGACCAGGGTTCTCTCCTGACTTTTACATGTATTGAAAACCTCTTAAGCTTGCTAAGAATCAGTTTCCTATGCTATGAAAAACGGGAGATAACTATTCTATATACTTGAGTTCCTACTGAAAATTAGTTGATTAGGCCGTGCGCGGTGGCTCACGCCTGTAATCCTAGCACTTTGGGAGGCCGAGGCAGGTGGATCACGAGGTCAAGAGATCGAGACCATCCTGGTCAACATGGTGAAACCCCGTCTCTACTAAAAACACAAAAAATTAGCTGGGCATGGTGGTGCGTGCCTGTAATCCCAGCTACTCAGGAAGCTGAGGCAGGAGAATTGCCTGAACCCGGGAGGCAGAGGTTGCAGTGAGCTGAGATCGCGCCATTGCACTCCAGCCTTGGTAACAAGAGTGAAACTCCGTCTCAAAAAAAAAAAAAAAAAAAAAAAAAAGAAAGAAAGAAAATTAGTTGATACTGACTGGTCTTTGTAAATTACAAAGTGCGATAGACATGCATAATATATGTGGCTTAGTTATATTACTGACTCCTAGAGAAATACTTTTTTCTTTGGTCAAGCTAACTTTATCTTATTTTCTAGATTGTTATTTTGTGTCAGTAAGTAATCCATAAAGTGCCAACATGGGAAAGAAACGGACAAAGGGAAAAACTGTTCCAATCGATGATTCCTCTGAAGCTTTAGGTATATTTCATTGATTGAATCTTTAATGTTCATATCTCTACATGGATATATGTTTTAAAATATAAAAATGATAAAAAAAAGTGCATATTATTGTTATATTATCTGCATTTTAATGTAAAGTTTGTGTCTATATGTCATTTAATAGTCTTCTACTTTCTGGTTTTTTTTGAGACTGTCTCTCTCTCTCTCTGACACCAAGATTAGAGTGCAGTGGTGCAGTCTCAGCTCACTGCAACCTCTGCCTCCCAGGTTCAAATGATTTTCTCCTGCCTCAGCCTCTTGAGTAGCTGGGATTGCAGACATATCCCACCACAGCCAGCTATTTTTTTTTTTTTTTTTTTTTTTTTTTTTTTTTTTGAGATGGAGTTTTGCTCTTGTTACCCAGGCTGGAGTGCAATGTCGCGATCTCAGCTCACCGCAACCTCCGCCTCCTGGGTTCAGGCAATTCTCCTGCCTCAGCCTCCCGAGTAGCTGGGATTACAGGCACGCGCCACCATGCCCAGCTAATTTTTTGTATTTTTAGTAGAGACGGGGTTTCACCATGTTGACCAGGATGGTCTCGATCTCTTGACCTCATGATCCACCCGCCTCGGCCTCCCAAAGTGCTGGGATTACAGGCTTGAGCCACCGCGCCCGGCCTTTATTTATTTATTTTTTTTAATAGAGACGGGGTTTCCTTATGTTGGCCAGGCTGGTCTTGCTCCTGGCTTCAAGTGATCCGCCCACCTCAGCCTCCCAAAGTGCTGGAATTACATGTGAGAGCCACTGCACTTGACCTTCTACAACTTTTTTTTTTTTTTTTTTTTTTTTTTTAATTCTGAGACGGAGTCTGGCTCTGTCACCCAGGCTGGAGTGCAATAGTGTGATCTCAGCTCACTGCAGCCTCCACCTAGCGGGTTCAAGTGATTCTCCTGCCTCA